TCCCGATAAATATAACGCTAATGTATGCTGAGATCGGCACCTTGTTAACTTTGCGTAGGATAGTTCAGAAGGCTTAAAAAGCAATAGCTTTATATCAGAAATTACTAGATATTTGAACTAAAAATCACTAGAACATATTTGCAGGTCAACTAATTGTCTCCAACACTGTTTTGTGTTATATAGCCTGCCGGAGTACCTGATCTTCTTAGATCAAGTACGTCCGGAAGGGCCCTGACCGGCGGTTGAGGCGGGATGCTTCAACGACGCAGAGAGCAGAGGTTGTTAGATCTCTAACTGGTGCGCCCCTACCTGACGGATAAAGGGACGGTTATTAGGGGTGGTAGGTACACGAAGTCATGATATAAGTCAAAACCCCCAGTAGATCGAGATCAGACTAGATCTGCGGCAATGCTAAGCAACAGTGTCAAAGGTTTTTAGGATTGCGGTAGCAGGCCATCGTGATAAATGCCGGCACGAAAGAACGGACGTCTTGAAATAATGCTAAACCAGTTCCAAGGCCCCATTCTCCAATTTGAGAGTTGAGATACGCGCGTTCTTAGTGCTGGAGGACGTCCCATACTAACCAGTTTTCGGGTGCGCATTGCCGTTTTCACGATCAGCTTCGTTGAAAATACAAAAAAAAAGCACGTCGCGCCGCGTCACAACGACTATGCAAGAGTAGCAAATGAACATCACACTTTTCTTGTCGGTTGCATGAATGTCTTTTGTAAAATCGGTTGCTCATATGGTTAGCTTTAAACTGTTTGCAAATAAGAAAACACTGACAGCCATCAAAATATCCGGAAGTTCTATAGCGACTTACTTAAAATGCTGCAAGCAAAGCAAAATTGCCCTATTTGTATCACTGATACAAAACTACAACAGGAATAGAGTTTTAGATCAAACAAGCACTACTTAGGTACTACGTTTCTACTAAAATTGCCTATAGACTCAATGATTACTAACCTGTTAATATTTACAAAGCTGGTCGTCAAGTTATAAAGGCGCCAAACAAACGACATATCGCCTTTCAATTCAAAAAAAAAATTCAACTCGAAACCAACAGAGATAATCCCCAGCAAGTAACCACACACATATATATGTTATGGGGGGTTATCGAAGTATGTATCATGTTGCTTGAAATTAAAAAAAAAACGGTAATCTGCGGGAGCATTGTCTGGTAGTGCATAGTGGATGATAGAAAGCCTGAAAGAGTAACCTTTGTATTTTTACTTTTTTTTTTGTGATTTTTTAGCTCTTGTATAATGAAACGTTGTCATACGGTAGGAGCGGTTTACCTCTGTCCACTAATCTTGGGTGTTTAATGAAGAACTTATTTATTTAGATAGGAAAAAAACAGCTTACTAAGATCAGGCCAAATACAAATGTGTACATTTTTTGCTACATTTATTTTACTTAGTTGAGTATATATGATAGTTTTGCGTGTATTACACTCAAATGCTAAAAAATGGTCGACTTTCATCACAGAATTCAAGATTTTATTACTCATCTTCGCAAAACGTCACGATTTATACAAATACAAGGATTTTCTGAATTACTTTCGAGCTGATTCTCGAGCAAGAAATGCCTTTAACTTCCAGAAAAATGTTGTACTGCAATAAAATAGTGCCATCTTGAACGAGATTAACTTTCTTTCACTTTACATTGAACGATTTCATATATATATATATATATATATATATATATATATATATATATATACAAAGACTCTGCTTTGTTTTTTAGAAGGGCACTTCACGATAACAATGATTGACATTTGTAAAATCGTTCTACAAGAATGACCTATCTTTTGTCGATGCTACACCGTGTCATGCCATGTTGGTCTGAATGGTATCATGCTGGTCAGTAGTGAGTTAGCACTCTCCTCGCCGGTCAATAGATTTCATTATTTGATTATGTATGTCCTTCGTGCTGGCAAGACTTTGGATGCCGTAAATATTTCATACATAAATGAGATGAATTACCATGAAAGTAAATCCGAACTTAGCTGTCTGCTTAAATGCACGGAAATTCACTGCGGTCATAGCAATATCAAAATGCAGCATCTTAATGCGAACCCTCTCTTATGTGTTGTTTTTAAAACTGTATATAACCAAAACAGATATTTTAACAAAGCGTTTTTCGCGGATTGGAGGTATCATTCCTGACAGTCATGTTTAATTGAGGATCTACCTACTAACTAGTCAATTTCAGTGTGTTCTTTCTATAATCCGCAAAACATTCCTAAATTGTATCCGTGTGTTGGACGACATTGTTTGGTATAAATTCTTCACGATGTTGTTTAAATAAGCTGCATATAAAAAATAGAAACGGAATTAAATTTTGGGCAGATAACGGGTTAAAGATTCCATAAATGCATGAGCCTGAAACAACAAAAAGTTTCAAAAGGTGCAAAAATGCACTGTTAAATTTTCGTTGATTGGCCTCATAAAACTCCTTTTTGATATTTTTTAGAAACCGCATGAAATGACGTAAACACAAGCAGTTTTTAACCTTTGTGGGAACCTTCAGCAAGGAAGGACTTCGTAATACCAGATCTTTGCTCAAGTTCGAAAAAAAGACGCACTGTATTCGCTATGATAACTCTACTGTTTTGTTTTACAGGGGACTACTTTTAACCGCTACCGCTTTCAAAATTTCTATCCTTCTTAAGGAACGGGATTTCGAACCGATATCATTTGATATATCTTTCAAGTGTAAATAAAAGGGCTCGCCCATTCTCTTTTCTGAAATTGATACTTTTGCCTAATTCAAGTTGTTTGATATATATGATTGATATTCGACCCTATCAACCCTTATATTAATATCAATATTGCCTAATCACTATAAAACTTCCAGTAAGGCTGCATACAATGACTTCTGCCAGAATTACCGAAAATGTAACAGCGAGACATATAAAAATATTTTCTTTAAAAAACTGTTTCTCTTATTTGAGGTCGCCTTTTTTATAGAAAAATATATTTTAATATCATACTTGTTGTTTGTTAATAGCATGCTAAATAATTATGCTCTAACTATTCATGAAATTGATTTACCACGAATCTTTCAAAATAAAAAAATTTCAAAATCACTGAAGTTTCGAAAGTTGTTTAGCATTTTTTTTCTTTCAAAACTTTTGAGCATATCTTATAAAATGATTGCGACATGATTATCTTTGGTTTGAATGAGGTCAAAATGCAGAACTGCGAATTGCGTTGTTTGAAGATCTTTATTCAAGTGCTTAGTGGGCAAATGTTTAACACTCAGGCCACTATAGCTAGATATCAGGTACCCGGTAATGTCACTTGAAACTTAAAAGATAATATGGACTTACTAAATGTATGTAAATAGAAAATTTGATATAATTTGGTATTGTATTTTTACCCATTTGAACTGCATTGACTAACTTCACAGGTTTCTTTGTTATTAGGCATTGCGGCTTTGTCAGAGCGAGTTCGCTAGAAATGAACACAGCGAAAACTTTTTATTCAAGTAAGTACTTTAACTTCATATAGAGTATTATAAAGAGCTGAGTTACGTCTTTCCTCTAGTAGTTCCTATAAAGCCAAAACGGAGTCCAGTTTTGTAAACCTCGTCCTTCATTCTCATCCAACTTTTGCTGCCTACGGTCTTAACATCAGTACTATATTCACTAGTCAACTTTAGTAAATAAATCTAAATATTACTTCAAGTGGATTCGTTGGTTCCGTATTGTAAAATTGATTCAACTTACTGTAGATTCGGGAATGTGTCTTTTTGGTGAATTAGCGGATAAATATTCGAATGCCGACAATGAATAAGTAGATCGTGTGAATTTCTATAATCCCCCTAACGCTATTTCACAAAGTAGTTCTCGAAAATCTTTTAAAGAATAGTTATTTATATATATTTATAAGAAGTATTTACACAACTAGTTAGCTGACAATGATGCTAATAGCTGTCATGCTGTTTTTCCAAGTACAATTTGCAATCAGAGAAACATTTAATACCTATAAACTTCATTTTATTACTGTGCTGATTCTACGGGACTCACCGTCACAGAGATGAACGTAACGACATTGGGGCCTCTTACACTGGCCTGATTTAAAATCGCGGCAAACTGGCAGGGTGTCCAGTAACTGAAATATTTGTATGGAAAATGGTTAGATTTATACTTGCAGAAACCAGTCTAAGATGCGGCAGAATCACAGCATGCGCCGGTGCAAGTAGGACAGAGAAAAGAGGTAACCTGACAAAGAGGAAGTAGGATGGACATTTTTGCTGTGTTTGGGACATTTTACCATTTAAAGCTGGATGGTACGATGGATACTAAAGCTGAACGGATGCAGGCAAGGCTGAGGTTCGAGCAGACAACCATCACGCGGCTTCCCTCGAGATGCTTCCCTCAGGCTTCATTCCTCAGTATCTACGAAAATCTATACACGTCCGAGGGGTACCGGTAATCTATGAAGGAAACGGTGGCATGCATAAATTAGATGAAAAAAGGACAAATAGAAACAATAAATTATTTAACTAACAAAAATATCGACCCTTAAAAATTAATTATTGGGGAATGCACACAGAAAATTATTACCTTGACAACAACACGTGCCTGCAGTAATGATAGGAATAAAAAAATGTGTCTTACGTTTTTAATCATCTTTGTATAAGACATTCATTCAGTCATTCATCTATTCGCTAACTCATTTGCTACAAACGGTGGGAAGCATATCAGCAAGCCAAAGGGTTAATCTACATAGCTAGCTGTATAAAATGCTACATTCAGCCAAATTTGACCCGAATTTGTCACAAACGCAACTAAACAGAGTTAATCAATACTTTCTTCTTTCTTCCCCAGCTTCTTCTTCTCCTAATTTTTCTTTTTCTTCTAAAAGCACACGTCATAAGCACAACTAACTATTGTCCCCACCCGCCCACCTCCCCACTCCGAGGCAGAAGGCATATAGCAAAAGCAGCAGTAGAATACAATAGGGAGGGTACAGGAAGGCAACTAGGAAGGATCTAGCGAATTTGTCGAATTTCAGCCTTAAAGACGACAATTCTTCTGGCGGACCTACGGACAGACGTTGAACGAGGGCAAAATAATTGTTGCGATTAACTTGTCAACCGAGGATACCTGTCCGTTACTATCACAGTAATTGACATCATGGAGGTGCTGAATTGAAGCGGCTATGTTGCCCTGAAGATTCGGTTGGGTGGAGCCCAACGTGCTTCCTATAGGGACTAGTGGTTGGTTGCAGTTGAGGAATCAGATTCGTTTAGTTGAGGTTTAGTTAATTTGTTTGTTGATAGATTGAAAGGTTGGTTCAGGAGTGTCAGGAAATTGGTGGATTTCGTGAGTTGGTGGTGAGATTCAGATGTGACCAAGGATGTCATGATGCAGATGCAAGAATGGCGGAGATGATGAGGTCGTCAGTGAGGTTGATTGGTGAAAGTTGCGGTAGGTGTTGTGAGGTTGTGTTGAGAGGGTCCATAGGTTAGAATGTAAGGGGAAGGAAAACACTCTTTTGGGTTAGTCAGAGTAATAAACAACATTCATAATTAATGCCAGACAAATAAAATTCATGAGGAATACGTTTGTGGAATATATATATATATATTGTGTACTACATTATTGTGAGTTGATGAGGTTAAATATTGTTCATTGTCAAACGGGTGAGCAGAACGAGAATATACAAACACAATATGTTTACCTAGAAGTAGAGCAACTGCGTGTGTGATTTACTAATAGATCATCTAGAATGGAGCTTCTAAATACTTAAGATAAGGTACATATTGTGTAGCAAAAAGGGGCGATCAACTAATTAATGAAATGCGTAAAACGAAGTACTTTAGGATAATTCATATATCTTGTCGTTACGATAGTTATATTATTTTTGGTCACGATCGTAGATCTACTAGTAATTCAGTGCAGAAGTGGTGGTGTGCTGTCATAAATCAGCCATTATGTATTTAAATACGAAGAGAAATAAACGTTGCTGATTTCATTAATTCCTACCTCATAACCATAGGTGGCAACATTCGCATTCTGAAATCTACTAAGTACTTACAAGAGACCGGTACGGCAAACTGCTGTTGCATCTGTAGGGCAAGTGCTGCTTGTTGATAAGCGGCAGCGGCAGCTGCTGTCGCCGTTGGTTGGTAAACGGGCAAGCCGCTCTTCTCGAGTGCAGGCCGCTTGTACTGCACCATTCCCGGCAGGGTGGCCTGCAAAGTAAACCGAAAGTGATTGACTAAATCTCTACGTGGCGTGGTATCCCAACCAGATCATGGGTAGTTGTAGCAATGAAGGCCAAAAAATGAGAAGACTCAGCAATAGTCCAATCGGAGACGGAACACATCACTCCATGGAGGGACGGTAGGGCTTCGGGTCTTCGCTAGGAAGACGCTAGCAAGGCTGCTCTTGCACCGCAGTAAGGCCGGCGGGTGTGGCAGGCTTACTGTACCTTTAGGCTTATTTGTCATGCAGCAGGCCAGACCTGTCTATCGGCTGCTTACGACGTTTGAGTTACCGCAATGGCTTCACTATCGATAGTTACGAGTTTAAAAAATGCGAACTGATGACGCATTAATAGCACTGTGTTATCAGTAACTCGTCAATAACTTTGCATTGAACTGATGAAACGAGGTCTCTGTAGCTGACGCTCAAACTGAGAGAGCGGAAACCTAATTTGTAAACAATATAGTACACATGGTCAAATTCATGTCTAATCAATATTATTTTATACGAGCGACGACAGCGCGACATCGAATACGAAGACATACATCCACGGTTCCAGAACTAAACGCGTTGCTACAGCATTCCACTACATTACCGATCTAAATAGTCATCGTCATAATTCACTATGTATTATTATTATTATTTATTATATAATCATTTCGTTTTGATCCTTCAGTACGCTCATTTACTCTGTACCAGAAAGGTAAACAGGGCGTCATGGTCGCTCGGTTGTTACTAAGGTCGTCCAACTGACTGATAAACAACTAACAAAAAAGTAAGGCAGGAAACTCATACGAACACACGTTCAGCATTCGAGGAGACAACAGTATTTTTGAACGATTGGATAATCATTTAGAATAAATAACCACTTATCATCAGAACGTTTACACAAAATGGAAAGGTGGCTATGAGGAACGAACAATACTTAACCATGCTATAATATATGATGTAATAACGACTATACTAATTACTGATGTATCGCATTATCAGACAATTAACCTTCCCGCATTCCTAACATTCAGGACATATAGTATTTATTAAATAAGCATACTAGCATTATCCTGCGAAATTTGAGCTATCGTAAACCGTGGCCAATTGTGAATCAAACGACATCTTAATTTTGGCCCAATGATAATTATTGGCGTTTCTAATTTATTAGCGTGTTTGTCTTGACACTCGCATTTTGTCGGTCAGTAACATGCAAAGAACAGCAGCAACCAGCTGTTCTCACATCGAGAGTAGTCATTTTTTAGACAGGGTTAGGTTGATCTTGTGAATAAGGGTTTTATAATTCACTAATGGGCTTTTTAAGATAGGAAACTGACTGACTGATTCAATCATCGATTGATTGATTGACAGCTTCGAGCGGCAGAGCAGCGGCAATTGGCAGTTGCAGCGGCGGTAGCAGCATTACTGAGCATCTTCCCGCGAACATCCGCATTACTATTGTTATTATTACGATTAATATTTTCATCATTTGCGTAATTAACAGTAAATGGAAAAAGATAAATAAATAGAGATATCAAGGGATTTAGTCCGTTTCCACGTGCAACAGATATAAAGCCCTGGATATATTAAATAAATATTATGAATATTAAACATGTGGGTAGGTGAGTCAGTGGGTTTATGAATTGTCGCGTTCAAGGTCTAACTTAAATTCAAACAGCTCAAAAATTATTTACCTTAATGGTATTAGTGTCTGGCATAGTATTTAGTCATCATTATTATGCTATTTTCTAATTCTGTTGCCTAGTTATTCCACTAAAAATTAAGTCCTGAGTCGAAGCATGGCGTTTGAGTGGGTTGTTGTTGTGTTTAATACAAGGGACAGAAGCCCCCGAGGTGGATTCGTTGCCAGATTTGTTTTTTTGCGGCGACTGCAGCGCTGCAGGGGCCTAGAGAGGGCACCCTAAACAGAGTGTGTGATGTGAGCTTTTGAAAGCGACATTAGGTAATGACTGAACGTTACATAATCATTAAAGAAGTAATCTGAACATTTTGAAAAGCAAAGTGGCATGTGAACTATTATTATGTCAGCTTGCACTAAGAGTTAGTTTGCTGCTTGAAAGTCCCTTATTATGGTGTAAACTATACTAAACTGGTTGGCAAGTATTATATAATAAATACTGATATTAATAATAGTAGTAGTAATAATAATAATAATAATAATAATAATAATAATAATAATAATAATAATAGGAGTAAGCAACTGTGCAGTGTGCATCGTATTTACCTAGATATAGCTGGTTAGCGGGATTGCGCTCGGTCACTTTTGTTAATATTGATTCCATTCCATAATTTGTGATATACATTTAAAACAAAAGAATGGTCTAATAGAATTAAATTGTCGCATGAACACGAACATGATAGGCTCGCTCAGTCCAACTAGTGACAATGTCACCATAATCATCGTCATCACTAATTATTTTGCATTAATTTATGGATGCGTCTGCGTGTGTGTCTGCGTACGTGCATGCACATGTGTCTTTGTATGTATAATGACAAGTTCACATCCTATTATTGACGATGATGTTCATGTCGTAAAGTAGTGATAGCAACATCTGTTGCATATGTAATGGTGTGAAGTAGGTGCCAATAAATGTAGATAAATAAAGAATAATGTGTATGTATAAAAATAATAGTAAGAACACTAATATTTATAATAAGCAGATAGAGGCAGGCACTAGTAGAGTAAGTAGTAGTAGTACCAGGTGTAACAGGTCAGAGTCAGCATCCCGGGCGCGTTTCTTCGCTTGCGGGTGGCCCCCCTGCCCCCCATTACTGCTGCTGACGGCTTCGGAGGCGGCAGCGGCGGCGGCGTACGCGGCGGCGTGCGGCGCCCCTACGCCCACGTCCACGCCCACTCGGCCAGCGTTGCCCACAGCAGCCGCTGCGGCAGCCGCCGCAGCAGCTGCTTGGGCCGCCTGTGCTTGCGCCATCAATTGCGCCTGAGCATTCAGGGCCTGCGCGTAAACTGGCGCGCTGTTGCCTGCAGCAGCAGCAGCCTGCACTTGCGCTTGAGCTTGGGCTTGTGCCTGAGCTTGAACCTGAACCGCTTGCGCTTGTGCAGCCTGCTGTGCAGCTTGAGCCTGGACAGCTTGTGCGGCCTGCTGTGCAGCTTGTGCCGCAGTCTCTTACCGCTTTCCTCACCATATCTGGGGGGATTGGTGGTGATCTTCTCTTTATTTTGTTCATTACTATTTGATACGGAAGTCCGAAAACGTCTCGGTCGACCTCCTCTATGAGTTTTTTCCAGGATTTTTCTTTACTACGTCTTATACTTTTTCTCAGTTTGTTTCGAGCTTCCTGATATTCCCGTAAGTTGCTGTGCTGCTCTTTGTTCCGTATCCGGTTGTAAGCTGTTCGTGCGTTTTTGCCAGCTTCTTGTTCTTGTGTATGTGCGTCTTTTCTTCACGCATATTTTCCTGAGTTCTGCAATTTCTCTATTCCACCAGTGTTTTGGGCGGTGGTGTAATCTATCTGTGAGCCGTCGCCGGTCTGCTTTTGTGCATGCATCTATCATGAGCTGGCTGAGTTGTTGCGCTGCTATATGTATTCCTTCGTTTCCTGTGTCGCTTAACATGATTTGCTCGCATTTTTCCTCTAATTCTCTGCACAGGATTTGTTGGTCTAGTTTCCTAGCTTGCCATCTTCTCGTCTTTCCCTGTGCTCCTTCTGCTGGTCCTGTGTGTTCTATCTGGAAGAATATGTAGTGATGGTCACTGCCGCTTTCTTCTTTATTCAAGACTTTCCATCCTGTTGTGGATGCTGCTGCTTCGTTGTTTACCATGAGTAATGTCTATGTATGATGGGTATCCGCCTGTTCGACACGTGGGTGCCTTTCCGTCATTAAGCACTGCCAGTCCCTCCGTTGCTAGCCACTCTAGGGTCATTATCCCTCTTCTATCATTTCTTCCGCTGCCCCATATTATATTCTTTGCATTAAAATCTCCTGTGATTATTATCTTTTTCCTATTGTCGTGTTGCTTTAGACTTTGTCCTATTTCCTCTAGGAATTTTTTGTATTCTTCTATTGGTTTATTGGGCGAGAAGTAGCATGTGTATAGCACCGCTACGTGCTCGATCTCCACCCATGCGAAACCATTTCCTGCTCCTTTCCCTCTTATTACCACATCCCTCATGCCACTCCAATATATTGCGGTATCCTTTTTATCATCCACTACTACAATTCCTTTATCGTTAGCTATTCTTTTATAATTTGGTTCTGATAGTAGGCCCAGATGTATGCCGTATTTTTGGCTTGTAATTTCCAGTAAATCATGTGCTACAGATGAACGGTTGAGGTTGATCTGAATTATTTTGACCTCCATTTTGCTTATTCTTTTGTGTCCTGCTCCTCCGTTTGCCTTGTTATCCTTAGTTCCTCAGTTGCCCGTTTCGCCGTCTTTTTTGCTGTTGGTGTTATGAAGTTTTCTTCGTCCGTCGTTGGCCTTTTTGTTCTCTTTTCCCTCCTCCTTATTTCCTCTTTTCTTTCTTTCTCTGTACATCCGTTTTCCTCTCTTGTTTTTATTTCTTCTGGTCCTGTGGGGGAACCGGGATAGGATTTTATTGCTGTCTTGTTGCTGTCGTGTTTACGTTTGGTCTGGTCCACCATGTCGCGGTATCTGGGGCACCGCATTGATGTGGCCCTATGGCCTTCCGTGCCACATTCGTAACAGAAAGGGATCACTCTTTCGCAGACATATGCCGTGTGCCCTGTGTTCCCACAGTTGTAGCACCTCTTCCCTTCTACTGTTGATTTTTCAACGCATTCGTAGGCTTTATGTCCTACTTTTTGGCATCTGTAGCAGGTTGGTAGCCTGATCCATTCCCTTATCTTACATCTGTATGGTCCAACCTGTATCGCTCTTCTTTCCCTTATTTTCTTTGCCCAGGCTGTTGGTACTTGTAACAGTGAGTACCAGCTGTTCTTCGACTGTCGGGGGTTTCCAGCTATTATTTCCGTATTTTCTGGTAATCCCAACGCCGTTTTAATATCGCTTGCTATCTTTGTTCCCGTAGCCAACGGATCTACGTCCCATAAGGCCAGCGTGTGCTTGCTTATCCTCGTGCTTACCTCCATTTTCATGCCCTCCTCGTTTTTAAGTATATTGGCAATTTTTGTGGCTTCATCCTTTGTGCTTCCCTGTATTTTGAGTATGACGTCTCCTCCAGCTCCTTGGGAGACTCCTATCTTACTTTCTATCTTTGTGTGTCCTATTTTCGCTCTGACTCCCGTCAGCACCTCGCTGTAGGATCTATTCTCTCCTGCTCTTATTCTAATTGTTGTAGTCTCTTCGTTGCTTCTTCCTTGTATTATCGGTTTTTTGTGCTCCCTCTTTTCCATATTGTGTTTTTGTGTGTTCTCCTTTTGATCTCTACATATGCTGATATCGCACCCGAAGTATCTGCCGTACACCTCTAACAGTTTTCTGGTGTTTTCCGTATCTGCCTGTTCAGTTATCTTTACTATTGGTGTTTCTTGTCCTCTTTCTTCCTTAAGTGTCTTGACTACTTTCTTAATGACTTTTGTTAGTCCTTCCTCTTTCTCTTCTTTATTTATGACTCCTATTACTATGTTAATTTTTGCTTTTTCCGGTACTACTTCTCCTTCCGCTTGCCCCGTCATGAGGTTGAAGGAGCTTCTACTCTTGATTAATGCTACACTTCCTGCTGTCAGTTTTTCTGCCTCCTTTGTTCCACTAACATGGGCGTCAAGTTGTTTAAGCATCCTTCGGTCCTTCTCAAGATTTTTTTCGATTATTATCGCTCCAGTATCTTTAATATTCGTTATGTTTTCCTTTATTATTTTAACCCTTTTAAATACCTGCTTGGGCCATTTCTTCCTGGCCACTCGATTGAAGTCTTCTTCTGTTTTGACCGTTGTTAGTTCCATTTCTATTTCTTCTTCTATCCTTTTGTCTTCTATTTCTTGTAGTCGTTCTTTATCAATCTTTTCTTTACATCTCCTGCACATAATGTCCTCTC